GCAGCACCACTAGCTCCAGCACCAGCAACACCTCCAGCAGGAACAGCTCCAGCGCCTCCAGCTCCAACTCCTGTAGCACGACTAGCTCTAGCACCTCCAGCAGCTCCAGCTCTATCAGCACTTCCAGCTGGAACAACTCCAGCGCCTCCAACTCCAACTCCTGCAGCACCACCAGCCCCAGCAGCTCCAGTACCTCCAGTACGAGCACCTTCGGGACCAGCGGCTCCAGTACCTCCAGCAGCTCCAGCAGCAGCAGGACCTCCAGCTCCAGCAGCACGACTCCAGCACTGGGCAAACCACTCGCGCAGCTGCGGTGCAGAGAGTGGCTCCCGCCGAGACAAGACACCCTTAGGACCTCCAGAGGACAAATTACCTCAGGGCTTAGCACCCTCAGGCTCAGCACCCCCACGCTCCACACTCTCAGGCTTAGCACCCCCAGGCTCCGCACCCTCAGACTCAGCAACCCCAGGCTCAGCACCCCCAGGCTCCGCACACTCAGGCTCAGCACCCCCAGGCCCCGCACCCGCAAGCTCAGCACCCCCAGGCCCCGCACCCACAGGCTCAGCACCCCTAGCAGTACCAGAGTCGACAGCTACCTTGAGAGGCTTGACAGGGTCTACCTGGGACACACATAAGGGGGCAGGACCCTGAAGGGGGAGGGGGTCTACCAGAGGAGGACCTGGTGCGAGAAAGAGCGGCGGCGGGGGAAGAGGTGCAGTACGGTAGGGAAAGAGACGGTAAAAGAGACAGAACACGGTGCGAGGTGGGGTGGTAAAACTGCCAGCCAGGCGCGTCAGGGGGGAAGCCAAGGAAGACGGAGGGAACAACACGGAAGGACAGCTTGTCCGCGGATGAATCGCGGACAAAAACTCGAGATCCCAAGACACGGAACACAGACGCATCTCCAACCTTCCCCGTCCACCGCAGAGCAGGTGTGGTCTCCGGAACGGAGACACTGGGCTAGAGGTTGAGCTGATGCCCAGCGTACTGAACCGCGAACGGCCACAAAAAATGGGGAGCAACCGCATGGATCATGGACGTACGAGCGACGTCCATGACCATGGCAATGCGGCGCTCAGCAATCCCATTTTGCTGTGGTGAGGTCGGAAGCGTGAACGTCTGGCGGATGCCCTCCTCACAACAGAAGGCCTGCAAAAGGTCAGAGGAAAACTCTTCACCTCTGTCAAAATGCAGACGCAGAACAGAAAGGTCCGAGCCGCAACTCTCGCTGAGCTAGCGACAGGCACCGCGGATACAGTCGATCAGCACTTCAGTAACCTCACCCTTGCGGCGCAAGGGGAAGAATGTGGTGTAACGCGAGTAGTCGTCAACGACCAGCAGAAAGTAACGCTCGTGACCCTATCCACGGACGCGGGCTGGGCCCCACACGTCCATGTGGAGAGTCTGCAGGAGAGCCTCCGTCGGAGGGAACTCGGAGGAGTGAGGAGCGGCGTGCTGCCGTCCCTCGACGCAAGGAACGCAAGTAGTTACAGGCCCTTGTGGGAGGGGAGGGAGAGACCGGGGGAGACCTGTGAAAAGGACACGGGAGGCCACACCTCGAAGACAAGGCAGGGAGGGGTGACCAAGGCGGTGGTGCCAGAGGAGAGTCTGGTGTGACAGGAGACGACACGAGCAGGGGGCAGACTCCGGACCAGACCTGGAAGCGGCAGCAAACACCTGACAAGACGTGGCTACCTGACCAGACGCAGCAACTAGAGGGGATGCAGTAGTCAGTATGTACAGGCTCGACCCAGGCTGATGGGTGAACCTGGCCAGGTGGCGGCCCGTCCGAGTACACATATAGTTGGTCACTTGCTGACCTCCAGGAGTGAACTGGTCAACCCACACGTCCTGGAGGTCAGCTCCACTCACCAAGTTCGTAGAGAACGAGGGGAGGTGAAGCCCCGACAGTGAGCCAGACGGGACCGCCGGACACGGCAGAACCGTAGAGGAGTGTGCAAGGACTAGGCCACCAAAGGGGTCCGCTAGGGAGACAGCAACCGGCCGACTGAGCGGCGTGAGTGTGGTGCAGTCGCGAAAGAAAGAGCGGGAAGCAACGGAGTCAAGAGTGAAAGTGTGCAAGGCCTCAGCAGGCGCAGTACCTGAGAGAGCAGACTCACCAGCACCGGAAGCAGTAGGCTCACCAGTACCCGGAGCAGCAGACTCACTAGCACCTAGATCAGCAGCCTCTATGCCTAGGTCAGGCAGCACACACAGGTAACAGTCACCCTCAGCACTAATAGTCACAGCATACATGGCACCAAGGATAGCATCATAATCAAGATCAAAGATAGCAACACCTGACTTAAGCAGATCAGCCCAGCGAGGGAGATCAGTGGCGTCAGGAAACTGTGCGTGCCAGGCGTCAGTCAAACAACCGAAACAGTGCTGCGTAGCGTGCGACAACCCGCATGTCTCCCCACGGCGCTCGCCGGTGCGGAGAACGTAAGCGTAGGGACCAGCACCCCCAGACCTCCCACGCCCAGCGTACCTCTCACGAAGCTGCTGGGGCGACGGGGCCTCACGGGAACGCGGCTGCTGCTGGCGCTGGCCACCGCCAAAGCCTCCACGCTGCACGGCTCCACCCCGACCAGCACCACCGCCGCCGCCACCCCCACTGCCGCTGCCGCCGCCACCCCCACCTCCACCGCCGCCACTGTGCCCCCACTCCCGCCACCACCCCCACCTCCACTCCCACCCCCTCCACCTCCTCCACCGGCACCACCGCCGCCCCCGCCGTCCCCTCCACCACCCTTGCCCCCCTTGCCCTTGCTGCTGCGGCGCCTCCCACTAGGAGCAGACGCAACCCCGACTGCCTCGGTGCCAACAAGGTCAGCTGCAGCAGCAGAAGCAACATAGGGCAAAAGGGGGACGAGGGAGCACCCCTCAAAGAAAGGGGCGCGAGGGTCGCCGCGAGAAGCTCCTACAGTCAATATGCTAGTCTCAGTTGTAAGAAGGCGCTCCTCAAGCAGGTCGACGGTGAGCTCAGTGGGGCAAAAGGAGAGAAAGTTGTACCTGACTGAGCGGAGAGAGTCGGGGAGACGTGTGACGAGGTAGAAGAGGGTGATGTACATTTTGGGGGGGGGGGGGGGGGTCTTGGCACAAAACTCGGAGGGAAGCGCAGCGCGGTAGCGGGTCTCACTAGTCCGGAGGTGAGTAATGAGGTCAGCGACTGTAGCAAACGCGGCAAGGTCAGGGAAGAGGTACGGTAGCATGAGGCGGCTGAGGGCAGCAGAGGCAGGGGAGGAGTAGCGTGCGACGACAGCATCATACAGAGACTTAGCAGTCTTGTACTGGCCAAAGTGCGTGTGCTCCGCAGACGGCAGGTGGCTACAAACAGCAAGGCAAGCAACATCATCACGAGTAGTCCACTGTGAGCGAATCTGTCAGCGTCGGCAGTAGGTAAGCACAGTAGGACTAGCCATGGCGGCAGTAGCTGCAGGGCAGGGCGGCGCAGCTTGGCAGAGCGGCGCGGCTCGCCAGGGCGGCGCGGCTCGGCAGGGCGGCGCGGCTCGGCAGGGCGGCGCGGCTCGGCTAGGCGGTGCGGCGCGGAAGGCAGGCAGGCGCAGCGGTGCGCTTGGCAGGGCGGGCGCTTACTAGGGGCGGGTGCAGGGCAGGGCCGAGAGTGGCGGATAGGGTAGGGCCGGTACAGGGCGGCAGCTGGGTAGGGCCGCTACGAGGCAGCGCTAGTGCAGGGCCGCGACAGGGCTGTCAAACTTAAATGCTATAGTCTGTGTAGGATGTAGTGGGGTAGCTCATATGTGGCACAACACTTTAGGGTTTCCTACTTGTACTCCTCATGCTGCTCAATGCAATCATTCCTCATTTCTCACATGGTATAGAGCAGGTTCCCTAGTGGGAACGCTTCCTAAGGGCCCACCACTAAAATTTTCTCTGCCTGGAGCGCGCTTCTCTCCTGCCCGAGTCGCGCCCCGTGTGCCCTCCCTCCTGCGCGTCCCTAGCCCTTAGCGGCCCGTCGCGCCTTCCTTGGGCCCCTAGCAGCCCCTTTTGCGGCCCCTCGCGGCCCCTCGCGGCCCCTCTCACGGCCCCGTCGTAGCGCCTCTAGGCCCGTAGCGGCCCCGTCGCCGCCCCTCTAGGCCCCTCGCGGCCCCTTCGCGGCCCCGTCGCCGCCCCTCTAGGCCCCGTCGCCGCCTCTCCAGGACCCTTATGGCCCCTCTACGACTCGGTCCCCGCCCCTAGCGGCCCCATCGCCGACCCTAACGGCCCCGTCGCTGCCCTAAGCGGCTCCGTCGCCGACCCTAGCGGCCCCGTCGCCGCCCTACTGGCCCCGTCGCCGACCCTAGCGGCCCCGTCGCTGCCCTAAGCGGCCCCGTCGCCGACCCTACCGGCCCTGACGCCGCCCTACCGGCCCCGTCGCCGCCCTAAGCGGCCCCGTCGCCGGCCCTACCGGCCCCGTTGCCGCCCTACTGGCCCCGTCGCCGCCCTAAGCGGCCCCGTCGCCGACCCTACCGGCCCTGTCGCCGCCCTACCGGCCCCGTTGCCGCCCTACCGGCTATATCGCCGGCCCTAGCGGCCCCGTCGCCGCCCTTCGCGGCCCCGTCGCCGCCCTTCGTGGCCCCGTAGCCGCCCCTAGCGGCCCCGTCGCTGCTCTTCACGGCCCCGTCGCCGTCTCTACCGGCCCCTTCAACGCCGCCAGCAGCCCAGCAGCCGAGGCGCCCAGCAGTCGGGCCGCCGAGCCGCCCAGCAGCCGAGCCGTCGAGCCGCCCAGCAGCCGAGCCGTCGAGCCGCCCAGCAGCCGAGCCACCGAGCCGCCCAACAGCCGAGCCGCCGAGCCGCCCAGCAGCCGAGCCGCCCAGCAGCCGAGCCGCCGAGCCGCCCTACAGCCGAGCCGCCGTGTCGCCCAGCAGCCGAGCCGCCGAGCCGTCCAGCAGCCGAGCCGCCGAGCCGCCCTGCCGTCGAGCCGCCACTGTTCTGTCCGGCGCGCCCCGGCCCTACTTTCTTGGACTGGTGAGCTCCCTCCCTGCTAGACCACTGCAGTCATGGCTACCCCCAATGTCCTTACCTTTGATACTGAGGGTCGTGCTGTTGACTTTGAGGTCTGGGTCGATGACCTCCAGCTGTTCTTACAGTGCGATAGGGCAGACGGACTTTCTCTGTTTGATCTCACCTCTAGTGTCTCTCCTGCCCCGCCTGCTACTGCTGACAGCACTGTTCACTCACAGTGGGCCACGCGCGATGTTGCTGCACGTCTTGCTGTGCGTGGCCACTTACCGACCACTGAGCGTGCGCACTTTAGCCAGTACGAGAGTGCTAAGTCCTTGTACGACGCTGTAGTTGCACGCTACTCTTCTCCTGCCACTGCTGCGCTTAGCCGCCTCATGCTGTCGTACCTGTTCCCTGACCTTGCTGCCTTTCCCACAGTCGCTGACCTCATTACGCACCTTCGCACTAGTGACACTCGCTACCGCGCTGCGCTTCCTGCTGAGTTCTGTGCCAAGAACCCCCCCCCCCCATGTACATCACCCTCTACTACATAGTCACCCGGCTCCCTGACTCCCTTCGCTTAGTCAGGGACCACTTCCTCTCAGTTTGCCCCACCACACTCACTGTTGACCTCCTCGAGGAGTGCCTCCTAGCAGCAGAGAAGAGCATAGTCGCTGTAGGAGCCTCTCGTGGTGACCCTCGCACACCCGTCTTTGAGGGGTGTTCTCCCTCCCCCCTCTTGCCCTCTGTTGCTTCTGCTGCTGCGGCCGACCTCGTTGGCTTTGAGTCGGTCGGCGCTGCGTCTGTCCCTAGCGGGAAGCGCCGCACCGGCAAGGGCAAGGGGGGAAAGGGCGCTCTGGGGGCCAGTGGGGGCGGTGGAGGTGGTGGTGGAGGCAGTGGAGGGGGTGGGGGTGGTGGTGGGAGTGGTGGCGGGGGTGGAGGTGTCAGTGGCAGGAGTGGAGGCGGAGGAGGCGGCGGTGGTGGCGGAGGGAGCGGAGGCGGCGGCGGTGGCGGAGGCGGCGGAGTTGGCGGAGGCGGTGGAGGTGGCGGTGGAGCTGGTCGCGGCTCTGCGCAGAGGAGTGGCTCAGGTGGTGGTTCGCGCCAGCAGCAGCAGCGCGGTCGTGAGACCCTGTCCCCTCAGTAGCTTCGTGAGTGGTACGCTGGGCATCAGCGGGGTGGGGGTACTGGTCCCTGCACCTACGTCCTCTGTACAGGCGACCGCGCTGGTGAGCAGTGCGGGGGCACGCACTCCACCCAGCGCTGCTTCGGCCGCCTAACGGACGCTTGGCCTCATCAATTCCCTGACGTCACTGAGATCCCTCGCTGAGAAGAGCTGTCTAGGGCGGGGGTAGCTATCTTTGATCTTGACTATGATGCTATTCTTGTTGCCATGTATGCTGTGTCTACTAGTGATGAGGGTGACTGTTACCTGTGTGTTCCGCCTGACCCGGGCATTGAGGCTGCTGCTCTAGGTGCTGGTGAGACTGCTGCTCCAGGTACTAGTGCGTCTGGTGCCCCAGGTGCTGGTGAGTCTGCTCTCTTAGGTACCACGTCGGCTCAAGCCTTGCACACCTTCACCCTTGACTCGGGTGCTTCCGGCTCCTTCTTTTGAGACCGCACCACGCTTACGCCGCTTAGTCGGCCACTGAAGTTGCTGAAACCACTACCCTGATCAGAGTGGAGAGAACAGTGGGAGGGAATCAGAGTTATCTACAAGTGGGGCTGGCATAAAATAAGGAATTGAAGTGCGAGAGGGTGGAAGTGGACGGCAAGGGAAAAATAAAGCAGTTGGGGATCGTGGTTCAACCGCCATCGTTGCTAAGTTTACTGAACCTGATGGTGGCCAGCGGCGGCTACGTGCTAGGAAAAGCGGGAGATCCGCTGACACGCCTACGGGCCTCGTTTCTTTGTATGGAGGGCAAACCAACGGCACAAAGGAAGCTGAGACACTTGCTCAGGAAGCCGACACAACAGCCTAAGCAGCAGAAAAAATGGGAGGAGAGCTGGGGAGGAAAGATTGACTGGGAGAGAGCCATCGCGAAGAGGGACTCGCTGACAACCCCAGCCAAAGCAAGAGAGGTACTGTCGAGGCTGCACAATAACAACCTGCAAGTGGGCAGTAGGCTGGCTTTCTTCGGCTCGCGTGCATGCTGCCCATACTGCAGACAAGAAGAGTCGCCTACACACTTGTTGATGAGCTGCCCGGTGGTTGAGGGGATCTGTGGTGCGCTTCAAGACTCACTTCGCCTGATCAATCCAACGAGGGCGGTGGGAACACTGGGCAAGCTGCTATTTGCGGAGGATAGCACTGCCTCCGGCTTCCCGGAATCCACGCTTATCGCGGTCACGTTCCGACACATTTGGCTGGAGAGATGTAACGCGGTCTTAAGGAAGAAATGTTTTGAACCCATGCGGGTGGCCCAAAGATAGGTGCAAACTTCAGAAGGCATGTGCGGACCTACAGTGAAGTTTGTGGGGGCAAAGGTGGGCAGAAGAGAGGAGAGGATGGAGGTGGCTGGCCAAACCTGACAACTGGCGAGGCGGTGGCTCTGAGCCGCATTTGCGACCAAGATGAGCATCTGACATGGAACAAGGCTTTCAGCTTGATATGGGAGAGACCCAGTACCTTCTTTAAGCCGTTGTTAAGGGCTTACAGGGAGGACAGTGTAGACCTTACTAGGTAGACCTGCGTTTCCTCCTCCCTTTTTCAGTTACGACTGTGGGTGTATTGCATTGTATAGTGTACTGTGCCCCCCCCCCCCCCCCCCCCAAAAAAAAAAAACAAGAGGCGACGAAATCGTCTTAGGGTTGCGGAGCAGCTTTACTAGAGTACATTTTTTGTTTGGGTGGCATCTTCATATAAAACTTTGAGTCATGTAGCACCAAAAGTTTACTCAAACTGACCAGCTGAAAGCCCAGCGCATGAATCGAAACGGAGAACTTTATTATTCAGTTTATTCTGAAACAACTGCGCAACGTACCACTGATTTCTTTGCATGTTTTAATGTTACTCTCATAAGAAACGCGATGAAATGACACACCTCTTTAGGGTTTCGTCTTCCTTTCTCTCTCTCGTCAAACTCATGCAGTTCTGTTTCCTCCCGCTACTCCCACTCCACCTAGCTCTCCAAGGTCAGTACTAAGCTCAACTAGAGTTCAGCTAGTTACTGGCCAACTTTATTTCCCTTAGTGTCGTATCCTAATCATCGAGTATTGTGTTCGCCGTTTTAAAGTTGTGCAACTTGTTTAAAATAGATTCTAAACTTTCGATCTATGTCGTAATAGTCTCTAGGTAGGCGATAGGCCTGCATCCATTCTTGTTTATTCATTCAAGCCGCCTTTTATTTCGACATTGCATTTTCTCGTTTTCATTCCACGATTAAGTCGGTTTCCAATGGCTGCAGCTCTTTCTGCTACGTCGTGTTGAAGGGTTGTAGCTCAATTTGACGTAGCTCCTAGTTACGACCAAAAATACATTCAACGATATTGAAAGTGATCTACTACATGTGTGAATTTCAGGTCAATATTATGTACTAGTCATTTGCATCTGTTTGCTTGTTTCTATGTTCCTGAATCTAACAGCAGGAAACGCTCAAGCACGTTGTTGTTTCAATCTATTGACTTGTTAAGGTGAGAACATCTTGGAGAAGAGAGCAAGAGAGAGCTCATGTTAGCAGAGAGTTTTATTGTTGTAGCTAAGTCTACCTACTATTTATTATGTAATTCATAGACTTCAGAACATCGGTAATCTCTCCCTCGTCCGTCTGTCAAATTATAATATTCTGTAGGCTATAGTGGGGTAGCCCATATGGGGTACACATTCCTAGGGTTGCATACTTGTATCACTTTCATTCCATAGTTCATTCATTCTTGTTCTACTTTCCTCATGGTATCGAGCAAGTTCCCCCGTGGGAACTGTGCCTAGGGCCCACCACATCGAGTTCTTTTTTTTTCCTGCCTAAAGCGCGCTCGGCCTCATTCGCGCTCCGGGCTCTCTCTCTTTTTTGTCGAGCCGCCCTAGAGGCCCCGCCGCCCTAACGGCTCAGCCGCCCGTCGATTCGGCCCCGCCGCCCGTCGATCAGGCCCCGCCGCCCTAACGGCCCCGCCGCCCATCGATTCGGCCCCGCCGCCCTTCTCAGCGGCCCCTCCGCCTCTTCTCAGCGGCCCCTCCGCCCTTATCAGCGGCCCCGCCGCCTCACACTGAGGCCCCGGCGCCCCTCGTCGCGGCCCCGCCGCCTCTCTCGACGCGGCCCCGCCGCCCTTCGTCGCGGCCCCGCCGCCCCATTGTCGCGGCCCCGCCGCCCTTCTCAGCAGCCCCGCCGCCCTTCGTCGCGGCCCCGCCACCCTTCGTCGCGGCCCCGCCGCCCTTCGTCGCGGTCCCGCCGCCCTTTGTCGCGGCCCCGCCGCCTCTCTCGCTGCGGCCCCACCGCCCTTCTCAGCGGCCCCGCCGCCCTTCCACTGCGGCCCCGCCGCCTCACACTGAGGCCCCGCTGCCCTTCGTCCCGGCCCCGCCGCCTCTCTCGCTGCGGCCCCGCCACCATTCTCAGCGGCCCCGCTGCCCGTCTCTGCGGCCCCGCCGCCACTCCCACCGCGGCCCCGCCACCTACCTTGCGGCCCCGCCGCCCTTCACCGCCCGCTCCGCCCGCCCGCCCGAGCTGGCCGACCCGCCCGAGCCGCCCGAGCCGCCCGAGCCGCCTGAGCCACCCGAGCCGCCCGAGCCGCCCGAGCTACCCGAGCCGCCTGAGCCGCCTAGGCCGCTGTGGAGCCAAGCCGCCCGAGCCGCCTGTGCCGCTGAGGACCCAAGCCGCCCGGGCCGCCCGAGCCGCCCAAGCCACCCGAGCCGCCCAAGCCGCCTGAGGAGCCGAGCCGCTGGTACCGCGGAGCCGCAGTTGCTGCTGAGCCGTCCGAGCAGCAGTGTTGCCGTGTTCTTGTGCTGCTGAGCTGCCCGAACCGCCCTGTCTGGTGAGAGCAGCACTTCTGTCATTGCACTGCCCCTGTCCTACAGTTAGTACTGCTAGTCTACTGTTGTCATGGCTACCCCTAGTGTCCTAGCTTTTGACGCTGAGGGTCGCGCCATTGACTTTGAGGTCTGGGTCGACGACCTACAGCTGTTCTTACAGTGCGATAGGGCAGACGGTCTTTCTCTCTTTGACCTCACCTCTGGCGCCTCTCCTGCCCCTGCTGCTAATGCAAACCCCACTGTTCGCTCCCAGTGGGCCACGCGCGATGCTGCTGCACTTCTTGCTGTGCGTCGCCACCTGCCTACCGCTGAGCGTGCGCACTTTAGTCAGTACAAGAGTGCTCAGACCTTGTACGACGCTGTCGTTGCGCGCTACTCTTCCCCTGCCACTGCTGCACTGAGCCGCCTCATGCTACCCTTCCTCTTCCCTGACCTTGCTGCCTTTCCCACAGTCGCTGACCTCATTACGCACCTCCGCACTAGTGACACTCGCTACCGTGCCGCACTTCCTGCTGAATTCTGCGCCAAGAACCCCTCCCCCATGTACATCACTCTCTATTTTATAGTCACTCGCCTCCCTGACTCCCTTCGTGTAGTCAGGGACCACTTCCTCTCAGTCTGTCCCACCACTCTCACTGTTGACCTCTTAGAGAAGGCCCTCCTAGCAGCGGAGAAGAGCATCGTCGCTGTAGGAGCCTCTCGTGGTGACCCTCGCACCCCCATCTTTGAGGGGTGTTCTCCTTCCCCCCTTTTGCCCTCTGTCGCCTCTGCCGGTGCGGCCGACCTTGTTGGTCTTGAGTCGGTCGGTGCGGCGTCTGCCCGTAGCGGGAGAGGCCGCTCTGGCAAGGGCAAGGGGGGCAAGGGCGCGGGTGGAGCTAGCGGGGGCGGTGGAGGTGGAGGTGGAGGCGGCGGAGGGAGTGGGGGTGGCGGTGGGAGTGGTGGCGGGGGTGGAGGTGATGGTGGCAGCCGTGGAGGCGGAGGCGGCGGAGGCGGCGGCAGTATTGGCGGAGGCGGCAGTGGTCACGGAGGTGGATGAGGCGGTGGTGGAGGTGGTGGAGGTGGTCGTGGTGGCGCTTCGCAGCGTAGCAGCACTGGTGGTGGTCAGCGCCAGCAGCAGCAGCAGCAGCGTTCTCGCGACATCCCCCCCCCTCAGCAGCTCCGTGAGTGGTATGCGCAACGTCAGCGTGGTGGGGGTTTTGGTCCCTGCACCTACGTCCTTCGCACCGGCGACCGCGCGGGTGAGCAGTGTGGGGGTGCCCACCCCACCCAGCGCTGCTTTGGCCGCCTGACGGACGCTTGGCGTCAGCATATCCCGGAGGCCACTGAGATCCCTTGCTGGGGAGAGCTGTCTAGGGCAGGCGTAGCTATCTATGAACTTGACTTAGATGCTATCCTTGCTGCCATGTATGCTGTGACTAATAGTGATGAGGGTGACTGTTACCGGTGTTTCCCGCCCGACCCGGGCATTGGTACTGCTGCTCTAGGTGCTGGTGAGGCTGCTGCTCTAGGTGCTAGTGCGACTGCGCTCTTAGGTACTGGTGAGTCTGCGCTCTCAGGTACTACGTCGGCTTCGGCCTCCCTCACCTTCACCCTTGACTCTCGGGCGTCTCACTCCTTTCGGGACCGCACCACACTCACGCCGCTTAGTCGGC